GTCTGGTCTTGTGTCTGGTCTTGTGTCTGGTCTTGTGGCTGGTCTTGTGTCTTGTGACTGGTCTTGTGTCTGGTCTTGTGTCTGGTCTTCTGACTGGTCTTGTGTCTGGTCTTGTGTCAGGTCTTGTGTCTAATCTGTTGATGGTCCAGCCTACAACACTGGGACAAACTAGAACATTTCTGAGATCATGAACTTGCACAATTCAAGAGATGTAAGTGATTCATGTTAACGAGAAACAGATGAGAAATTAAGTTTGCTCACCAGGAGAACTTCATTCAGACCCATGGTGAACTTGCCTTCTGCCATGATCCTGTAATCACAACTCATTGCCATCAGACACCCACCAGCAGGAGAATGGCCCTGAAAAGCAGGAGAGGCACTGAGAAGCTACTGCATCGAATGAAAGCTTGTCTGTTTCCAGAGACTTCATTTTGCTCACAGCTAGTTGGATACAATGATTAATAATAAAAATCTTGGGGAAAATCTTTTCAGTGCTAAGTCTTTGCTTTGTTAGTTTTATGAATTACTGAGTGGATTTAGTGTTCTTCTGTGACTTGATAAAAGTGGAAGATCACTTTCAGTTGCAATCACCAAACTGTAAAAAAAGTTGACACCTTTCTTTCAAATCTGTGCAGTGAACATATTAATGTTTTCACATAGATATTAGATTCTGTAAGAAAACATGTATGTCAGGTGTATTTCATTGCTTTTGATGGATGCTGAAGGATTTAGCAGGCTTGAGGAGACGCTAATGCTAGAATTTTTTGGCCCAAGCAGCATGCCAAGAGCAATAAAATCAAGTCCACTTGATCCGTGAGGGCTTACGTTTACGGCAGCCACAGTTGCTAAATTGGATCCATACAGCCTCATCCAGAAATCCTGTAGTGACCTCCAGAAGGCGTTGGTGAAGTCGCTTGACCTCTGGTACATCTCTGTGATGTCCAGACCAGCCGAGAAAATACCAGGGTTGGCCTGAATCAGAAAGGCAAATATTGAGTACCCATTCGGAAGAAATGGAGACTTCTAAAAAAACCAGGACCATTACAGTATCATTTGGATTACGCTTTTAAGAATGAGGCATCTTCCTGCTGGGAACCAGGCATTCATTGCTTGTTTCCAGCTGGAGCATATTATTGCAAGGTCACTCCCAATCCTCTCAGATCCAACAAACTCCACTGGGAAAATGTTGAAGGATCATGGAAGATTAAGGTAGGGAAGAAGAGGTCATCTAAGATTTGAACCTTTTCATGTTGGAGGTAGCAAGTAAACTAGCTAGGTTTGCGGTATCACCATGGATACATCTCTCCTTTTTGAGTATGTGGGGTTCTGATAAGAACCGGTGGTACTCAACGTTTCAGGCAGTACTCTTTCTGAAAACATACTGATGTGAGAATAACTCCACGGCAGGTGGTGTCGTTTTCCAATTTTTCTAACGTGATGTTCATCTCCGTCATGAAGTCTTTGCTCATGCTGTTCACTGGTTTCTTGTTCATCTTCACAATGGCAATAGCTGCACACACACATAAAAATTATCAGACGGAAACCAGTTACTGTGATCAACAAAGCATTACCATATTTTACCATCATAAGTAACAGGAAAATAAAAAGGCCTTGTTTATTCAAATCAGGCGTACTGTCTAAATGCAGTTTTCCACCTGTTCACAAGAGAACCATGTTCTTTGCTGTGATGTATCAATTAACCAGTTGGCATACTGATTAACATGGATGTTATTTGAATGACACAATGGTTCCCATTGATGTAAACTGCGCAAAAAAATTCATTGAATGGCCTTCAACTCAAATAAGGCTCTGCTGACTTATGACTTATTCTGTTAGGCTGAGCTACTGCTACAAAATGTGCTTAGTTAGTTCATGGATACTATTTGCTGATATTTGAAGCACAGATGGAAGCAAATCAATGTTTGCAAGTCCAAGTCAAGTCACAAGTCAAAATCTGCAAGTCTAAGCCAAGTCACAAGTCATTTGGTCAAGGCACACATCAAGTCACAAGTCACTTGATCAGAGGTCAAGTCAAGTCACAAGTCAATTTTGTCCAAACACAAGCAAGTCACAAGTAAAGTAGCTCTTGAAGGTTTGCATGGTGGAATACGATAAGGTCGAAGGTTTGCGGATACACCATGTGGAAAATATCTCATTTGAGTATGTGAGGTTCTGAAAAAGAACTGGTTACTTGACGTTGAATAACCAGTTCTTTTTCAGAACCACACATACTTAAAAGAGATATTTTCCACATGGTGTATCCGCAAACCCTCTACCTTATCAAGTCACAAGTCTTTTTGTGTAAGTACAAGTCAAGTCACGCAATGTGTGATTTCAAGCCACAACCAAGTGATTCAGACATAGCCGTGGGTAGACAAGACCAAAGCAGAAGTTGCGAGCTGAACATTAAAGTCTTACGCTGATTATTTTAAGAATGCAAGATGAAAGGTGATAGGCCTAACTTAAACTTTAATGGGTTCGATTGAGTAGTTTTCTGACTTGCATTGGTCACAAGTCATAATGTGCAAGTCCAAGTCAAGTCCCAAGTCATTTTTTGCAAGTCAAGGTCAAAAACTAATTGTTACACATCAAGTCACGTGTCACAAAAATAGTGAATGGAGTCCGACTTGAGTCCAAGTCAAGTAACTCGAGTCTACAACTCTGATTGTAAGTATAATTAGCTGACGTGTAATTACCTTCATGGACATTATCTCGTTCAACCTGGACAAAGTTTCCTGACTCTGCAAAGCGGCGCTTCTGTTGTAAGAGCAACGGCGGAGCGGCACCAGTCTGCCTCCTCTTCAGTGATGCACTGAGAGTTCTTGACAGTATGCAACCTGATAAAGCAGAGTCAGAGAAGTACATGTTGTATGTAATCCAGTCTAAGGTGTACAAAGAATACACGGACTAAAACTGAAACTGCTTTTTTGCAGGTAACAGAGGGGAGGACTGACATTAATTATTATCTTTCTCTCAGCAACCTGTCCACAGAGTTTGTATGAAGGACACTATACAGTGGATTCTACCCCCCTCCCCGACCTCAGCTGTGCCTCACCCAATTTTGGAATGCATGTAAATACTCATTGCAATGTGAAGGTTGAACTCAGAGACATACTGTTTTGTTGTTAAGGTCATTTGAAGTTTAAGGCTACCTGCACGCCAGCCCAAGTGTATTGAGCACCGCAGTGGAAAATGTATACATTTTGGGCTGACCCATCTCAGATAAATGCACACTGCAAAAGACCGGTGCGTTCGATTTTTGCAAAACTGGTCATGGAGCTACTCTAAAAACTTGAAACTCCTAAAAAGGTTCAACTCCTGAAAAAAATGCACTGAGGTGGGAAAAATGTTGAAGGGGCAGATTTTGTGCCCCCCCCCGGCATTTTTAGTATAGTGAATAACTCACATCCAGCAACTGCGAGATGTCCAACCATTCTTACGGTCGGGATGACATCACTGAGTCTTGATTCTTTTCTCTGATTGGTCAGTTGGTCACTATATTATATTCCACATTTCACACTCGAAACTCATGGGGCAAAAATAGTGTTGCGGTGCTAGGAAATCTGAATTATTATGAATAATGACTGGACTAAACTCTTAACCGTGTTAACCTTTACATCAAATATGCCCACAATTTATGCGCTATGGATATCTCCCACACTGTACCGAAAAGGTTTCAGACATTTTTCAGAGTTTCCCCTTTGCCCAGACATGAGTGCAACTGAAGGAACTTCCGACCGCGAGAACGTTCGCGTGAGCGCAAGCCTAGGCATGGGCTTCACAACATGCACAATGTGACTTACCCCCACTTCTTCCTATTGCCCGTAATGCCTCCATATTCAGGTAATGGTGCTACAAATCTAAAAGAGAAGAGCTCTAAGTTTCCAGCTTGTCCAACCACCCGAAGCAAACCGTTAAAACTATTTGAATGACTTAGGCCTACCCTCGACGACTTCAATTCCAACCTGTACCGATGTAACTAGTTCCGCAACTCGTTGCGAGCAAAGCTAAAGACAGTGTAAGAAAAAGCTAGCTGATGCTATTGCATAAAGAACGCCCTCTCTTGGTCCATTCTGAAGAAATAACCAAAAAGTTCGTCGGGATCGGGGGTGACTTCTGACAAAAAAGTTTACAAATACATGTATACAACTTTTGCTGAGCGAAATGCCGCCTGTTCTCTCTCTGATTTTAAAGAAAAGTTTTCTAAAGTAATACAAATGAAGGGTTATACAATATCTCTACTGCTTCACACAATCAAACAATGGGGTATTTAAAAATATATCTTGAAAGAATGCAAGGAAAGCGGGGACTAGATAGGTGTTTTCATATGAAGAGGGAGAACCCAAAATGGCTTACTTTAATCATTTTTTTTTCAATCTTAACTCTTGATCTATTGTAGCCATGGATTTTATCAATCAGCCAGACAGGTTCTGCATGAGTACCCAGTGCTATCCAAACGGAAAGGACTGCAATAGTATTATCCTGGGAGGGCTAATTTCTTGAAAACTTTCCGTATTTTACATCGAACAGTGTAGATCGATTGCATGATTTACAGTAGACAGTTAAAAAAGACATGACACAAACTAGCACAAACAATACTTACTTTATTGAAAATCCATTATATTATTGTTATTTCTTTAGATACTTAACATCAATTCAGTGACTATCTGTTAACTTCAGAAAAAAACTTGGCAATACAGAAATTTCATTTTAATGAAAATGTACAGTGGCAAAGCTCGAGATCCTCTAAACATGCCCTGTCAGTAAATTAAAAGAGATTCCAAAACAATCAAGAAGACATGGTTGAAATCAGCAAGAATAACATTAGCTAAAGCAATAGAGAAATTTCCATCGCTTTTACAACCTATTCACTTAAGGACACTAACTACAAAACAATTACTTCAGTTTGAAGCGCTGTAAAAAGCCATTGTAGCAAGCTTCCCTGAACAAATTTCTATATTTTAATATGGTTATAATTTGCTTTTTTTTAGTACTTGCGTTTTTCTTCCAAAATGAACCTAGACTTCCCTTGTTGAGCTTGACCAAGCAAGTCAATCCGCAGGACTGGGTAAGGTTGACAGCCATGATGACTTGGTCAGTGACAGAAAGAAAGGCTGGTCCAACAGTTCAGCAAACGGAACCGTGAAGATGTTTGAAGATGCAGCTTTTTGGGGCTCTTCAAGGCCGTAGTTGAGTCCAATCCCAAGTCACAAGATGAACAATGACAACCACCAGTATATGTTTTGATCACACATCAGTGGAACAGCTTGTGACTTCGAACAGACTTTTGCCTGCACGCCCCAAAACTATTTCCTTTTCTTCAAGGTCTCCAGATATTTCCCCACAGCTTCCTGGACGCTTTCTTTCAGCAAGAAGTTGGCGAAGAATTGGATCTCTTCCTCCTTGGAGGATTGCACTTTCTCAATGAGTGCTGCTCTCTGCATTGATTTTGTCCTGACCCTGGCATGCTCTGCAAAAAACAAATCAACAGTGGGGATACATGAGGTATGCTGATTACCAAAACACTAGCGCTCTGTACTAGATTTCCAGAACTGATGTAGAACACATCCTTGAAACAGACCTAGCGACACCATGTTTTTCAATGTTCATCGTTTTCTTTTCAAGCAGCTGGTAAAAGAAATGGACTAGACAAAGACAGTTCTACATGACCAACTCAAAAGAATTGCTTACAAGAGAAAAATGGGCACCCTCGCTCTGGTTTATATACGGGGAGTACACAAAAAGTTTTCATCTGAATATGTACAACCCAGAGTAAGATGGTACTTTCACAGGGGTTCACAAGAGGCTACAATGTAAACATGTCAGTCATATACTGGGTTCCACCTTGCAAGTTTCAGGGACAGAGCAAAGTTGCAGCCGGATGCATGTTTTTGGCGTTTACATCAACAGCCAAATTTGATGATTTCGCTGAAGTACTACTTACAAGACTCCAAAGACCAAATAAATGTTTGATCCATGTACCTGGTACAGCGAGCCACTTCAACATTTGTTTCCTGGCAGCGGCCATCAAATCTTCCGCTGGTTGCAACTCATCCACGAGTCTGATGGCCAGTGCCTGCTCAGGAGTATACAGCAAACCTTGACAAAGACAGAAAAAAATTACAAACAGGTGAACAAAGATTCAAGATAGTTTATTGTCGAGTAAATAATGTTTTCCCACGAAATTTGCTCTCCCAGTGTTGCAGGAAATAAAATTACATTATATTACATAAATGTAAAAAAATAAAATTCCCAAGTTCAAAAGCAAGTTCAAAGATGAGAATATTGTAAGCCCGGTTTGACCCAGGTACCTCCAAAAGAAGGAAACATGACACAAGTGAATTTTGAAAGAATGAGTTAGCATGAGAGTTCATCTATGTTGAATTTCAATCCAAATTCTGGGGTGTCTCCCTAATGTCGTCTCCATCACTGCCTAGGGCTCCAGGTTCCATTTTTGTGAATTTAGTGCCAGGAGCTAAGACCCTCCGGTTTGGTGCACCTCCACTTTCAGCCGCAACAGCATCAGGTAGTCTGGTATGAGGTCAATTTGGGAGGTTTTTTAAATGTTCATTTGACAGGAAAGATTTTAACTGACTACGCAACTAAAGATGAACCCATGATGGAGAATATATTGTAATGTTCAATGATGTAACTTTTATTATCAAGAGAAAATAGACATGGCCTGTTGGTTTTTAATTCTGTTTCTTTTGCGTACCCTTCACCTTTTTGAAAGCTTATTTCCGCTGTCCTCGCCCCGCATGCTTTGCTCATCATCTCTTGCACCCAGAATGGAGTTATGAGGCCCTACAACAAGTAAGATAAACTCAAACTTTTTAGTATCAACTTTGAATGTTATTCTGGATTTCCTGCGAACTTCTGGCAAAAAGGGCAGACCAGGCAGAGTCTGAAATGAGTATTTGAGTCTGCAGCTTTGGAAAGTGAGAACTGTTAGCTGTAGTCTCAAAACAGCCACATTGGAGATAGCTGCGGTGAGATATTCAAAATATTTATACCAGGATTTCAATCTAAGTTGCAGGGTCAGGCAAAAAACACAAAAACTACAAAAAAAATCTGTTCCATGCATTCTCCACAAATAATTCACATCACTCATTTCAAAATTAAAAACAAGGTTTCAAATTTCCGTGTTCAGGTTTTGCAGCAAAATCTCTTCAGCTTTTTGATACTGAACATTATTTCAATTAATTTTTTTTTATTTTCTGGATATTGTTTATGGAAAGTATTATGACTTAAAATCTAGATGCTGGAAAGGTTCAGTGGAAACCATTTCTAAGATACCCTAACTGAATGAGTGAATGACATTTTACGTGAAAAAAAAAGGATAGCTTGACAACTTATAAACCTGCTATTTCTTTGACATGTAACATCAGCATCAAACCTTACAAGTTGGGTAGCACTGAAGCCTATGTTGAACTTGCCTTCTGCCATGATCCTGTAGTCACATGACAGTGACAACAGACATCCACCAGCAGTTGCATGACCCTAGGGAGCAAAGTACCACTGCGTTAGCATCATTTAACACTGGATGTGAATGATAATAAAGAGAAAGTGGTTTAAGATTGTTTGATTTTTACTGTGTGCACGGTCTGTGACTACTATTGCTGCACACATTCAATGGCCCAGTTTCTGGACAGTGATATCTATTTTCAATTTTGCATTATGTTAACTCTGCCGGTGCACACCATAATGTGAGTTTCATTTGAATTGTAGTTCAGCTGTCTCTGAGATTAGAGGGAACTACATGTTTCCAGTAAAAAAATGTGATTCACTGATCGTCTCAAACTTGTTTTGATTTTTTTCAAAGAGAACATCATTAATAATTTGATATTTCCAATGATTCAATTTTTCACTATCACATCTCCTTATAAATTTCTAATAGAAATACCTGCACAACATTTATGAGCTTCTCTGAGAAATCTGCCAGTCAGACACTCCAAATGTCTCAAAAGCACCTTAAAACAATTGGATCTTATAGCCAATCAAAGAAAACAAAGTTTACCCTCTACACAAACAAACACATTGACAGCAAAGTAAAGAACCCTTCAAAATCGACACTGCTTGGAATTAATTTAGCATGCAATTGTGCGCCAATCTCTACGTACGCCTACCAGCAAGATAACCATCCAATAACATGGCTGGAATAAGTCTTTTGTTGGGTGAAATTGTTGGAATTCTTTAATTTTTGAAGTTGTTTTGACTTTATGACTTGAACAGTATTCGGCAAGGGGCATTGTCAGCGCCCATTCGCCAGAGTTGGAGACTGTCCAAGTATATATTTATTGCCTTATTATTTACCACAGGAAACTCCTGGGGTAAGCCTTTTGATTGAAAAGATGACAACTATGACATAGAAGACGGCTTTTATGAATGTCAAGCATCACATTGATTGCTCGCGCCATTTTGTTAAACTCTAATTTATATTGACTTACATTGACAGCTGCCACAGTGACCAAGTTAGTCCCATACAACCTCATAATAAACTCAATGAGTGATCTCCAGAGAGCAGCAGCACAGTCCTGTGAAATCTGGTATATCTCAGAGATATCAAGGCCCGCTGAAAAAATACCAGCGTTGGCCTGTGGGTGTGAGGATACGGACAAACGATGCTGTTATCAAATGTTATCATTTTTATTATGCCACAATGCCATGATCACCTTAGCATCAACATCACCAGACCCTTTGTTAGTCAAGTCAAAGAGTTGACATTCGAGTTGACAACAAACTATGCCTGTCCATGACAGCAAAAAATGAGAAGTGATTTATAAAGTATGTTGTATTTGAGAATACATGGCTTCTAAAAACAATTGGATATTGGCACTGCTAATACCATAAAAAGTGCCTCCACTGTGAATTTGAAGGGAATAAAATGCACACTTAGGTGCAACTGCAGTATGCAAACTTTGGCCACCTATAAAATGGTAGGCAATGATTGCAACCCAAAGAAAGGTCTACAGGCAGAATTTCATAAAACCAGAACTTCAAAGCCACTCTTGGATTTCCACATAAAAACAGGCAAAACAAGACAATGCCTGTACTCCTGCAGAACACTTTGGAATGTCAATGAATATGGATATTTGAAAGGTCTGTTAATCAAAGAAAAATCCCTACATTCAGAAGTAAACTGGCCCAAAAAAGATCGTTGGGTAGACATGACGTTATGGCATACATGAGGTGACTCATTTTAAATCTTCCAAGGCTGCATCCGTTGCTTTGTTGTCATATATGCACATTGTCTATAATACAACCATCCTTGTTTTCTGATTGCATCTCAAAGTGCTATCACTTTTCCCTTCAACTCCTGTTGATTTTGTCCATTTTGTGTGAGGGTTACAATTACATCACACAGTCAAATCAACATGAGTGTGGGTAATTACCCAAGGAACTCACTGATGTAATGATAACTCCCTGGCAACTCCCAGTGCTCCTCAGCTCATCAAGTCTGTGGCTCATCTCATCCAAGAAGGGTTTGTTGAAGCCATTGAACGGTTTATTATTCATCTTCAGTATGGCAACCGCTTGTTTGCAAAAAAGGATATGAACACAGAAGGTCTAAATAGACGAGTGACATGACATCATATTATCAAGGTCACATACCTGAAATACCCAGAGAATCTCATTCTCTTAATTACAGCATAAACTGATGGTAATTAGTTGACAGAAAGATTCATGGCTCCATGGTCAGTGTCGTTTGCAGATTTTGACCAAGCATGTCCACTTTGCTCCAGCAAAATTGGAATGGTTGGAAAAACACAAGCGAAATGTTAGAAATCATTGACAGTCCTCAAACTATTTCCCTTACTAGCATCGGTCAAGTTCAACTACTACTTGTAGTTAATTGTGCCCAGTACCAAGGATATATTCTGTGCACAGGTAAGCAGGGAAAATTGAACAGAGGTTGACAGATTGTCACTCAGACTTTCAGTTTACTTGTGAAGTCTTATCTTCTGTACATATTACTGTCTTTTTCATATAAATTAACTACTTCATTTGAAATCATCTCTGGATGTTCCATCCTCATTGCCTAAGTTCACATTACATCTTCCATTTCTTTATTTGCAATTTGTTCATACACTTTATAAGTTTTATTTCCTAATAATAACATGTTTTCTGTATTTCTTAATGTTTAATTGTTTTTGTATTTAATTATGTGTTTTTATTCATAGCATGCCTTACACAAGGTTTTGCTTATTGGATTTTGCGACTTCTTCTTGACTTGACTTCCTTCTTTGTATTCTTTTGTTTTTTGTGTGATGTAGCCGACCATGAAGACGAGCTAGTTGATTGCTAATTTGCTGCTAATAACTCTCATAAGTTGTAAGACCATATGCAGAGGGCTACTGTCATGTTGATTTGGAGTTGTGACCAAGGGGATCGGTGGAGAATTCCTTAACAACCACCAGAGTGTTCGAGTGGAATAAAAACAAATTTTGAAAGGGGCGGCAGCTAATTTCAGGGGGATTTTACCTGCACAAACGAAAGTAGGTTCAATACCTGAGGGAACAGGTTTAAAAAGTAGTGTAAACCAGTCTAGCTTTGCGATACTCAATAAATTGAGATTGTCCGAGATGGAATCCTTTTGAAGTGCAGATTATCTTGAACAAAACATCAACTGAAAATTGACACTGATGCTCCCATCATGCCAAAAACCCTTAAAGTTTCGGAAACCAGACAGTTTTTCTGCTGATACTATTTATTTCTTTTTGTGACCTCAAACCTTGATGGACGCCATCTTGTTCAATACGAGTGTAGGTCCCACACTCGGCCGCACAAAGTCTTGCCTGTTGAGACGTCAAGAGAGATGAGGTACCAGTCTGTTTCTTGAGACAAGCCTTTGACAACAAACCTATTAAGCGAAAAACAAATTTTTAATGGCTGCATTAAGCAGCTCCACCTCTGATTGGGGGCACTATATTAAACCCTCCATTGTGCAGAAATGCATAATGTTTGTGGCTCTTCCATGAAAGACACCTTTGAACTAAAGCGAGACCAGTCATGCCAGCAAAAAGAGTGATTCTAGTGTCTTTTTATTTGCATGTAGGTTGACATAACATGCACGCACTCAGCGCAAATGTGAAAGATGAGTTTACCCAGTTTAGTTCTACTGAAAAAAAATAGAAACTAGAGTCAACAGTCATAACTAAGCAATCACTGAGCTGCTCCCATTATATTTTTGATGGTCAATAACAAATGACACGAAGTGCAAGGTTTGGAATTGTGAAGTTTAGTGTGAAAATGTGCATTTTAAGATAAATTTTCTTATTCATTCCATGCAACAAAAGTTAAGGGCCTCAGGCATTAGACCAATGTACATGTGTTGTGCAAACATTCCAAATTGTGGGACCGTTTTGCCTACGTGGTCATTGAGACATACCAGTTCATATCCAGCACCAAGTGCTCATTTCCAAACATAACAAATTCAACCTCACTCTGCTTGGGATAAGCTTAAACCTGCCTAAGGACAAGTTGTTTTTGGGTCATGTAAAACCTTGTTGGCACTTTAATATAAAAGATAAGAATCATGCATTGTAACCAGCCCTATTAGCAGCTGAAGGAATTAATGGGGGACCTCAGTATCAGCTAGTGGGGCCACATCACAAGAACAAAATATTTCACTGTTACTGATGGGGGGCAGTTTGCTGCCAGGGGGGGCTATCCCTCGGCCACCCACCCCCCCCCCCTTCAAAGCGATAGGTCAATGCTGGCGTATATGTTTATGGCCGTATTTTAGTAGGGCCATTAATTATCTGTAAAGCATAACTGCAAATCTCCATGAACACACAATCGATCACCAGCTGAGATTTGGTCCAAAATGTTAAACAGGTGAAGCAGGTTCGAACTTGATGTTACTTTGGTACGGGTTTGTAACTTGAACCGTACTATCGCCCGACCATGGCCAAATGTTAAAATACAAATGCGATTTTTAGGGTCCAAGTTATTCACACCACTAACATGACTAATTAAATGACCGATCCAATACAAAATTCAAAAACACTGTCAGTGTCACAATGTCTTACCACGGTATGAACTGTTAAGTTTTCGAAAGGCCATCATCATACTGCACGTACACACACAGACTCGACTAGCCTAAAGGACGAAATTCACGAAAAAGTTATCAAAGAATCGCATTATTCTTTCTTGATGATTTTCAAATTGGTGTGGAGTCCGCAGACACATAAACATCTAACTGTCCGTCACCGACCCTGTTTAGCGTTTAGCGAGGAGTCGAGTGAAACATTTTGTAATTCACCTGTTCGGTGAAAATGAACGGGCCATTCGGGAACGTGATTTGATTAAACTTGTTTCCCAGTCTGTTGCTGACCATAGGCTGAACGGGATATGCGTGTACAAATCCTGGTGATCGTGGTATAACGCCATGATCACTGGTTATTTGTAGTGGCCCCTTTTATTTTTATTTTAAAAACACTTATTATGGAGGTACTAGTGACAATTGTTACACTGATATCACTTTAGTCTCAAATTTTCAAAACTCCTCTAAAGATTCAAATTTTCATTTTCTGCATTTTGCTTCTAATCATTAACAACCATTCGTCTTGCACGAGAAATCAATATGTCTTGAAATAGTTCCTTAATTTTATAATATGCGGACAAACCATGAATTTATAGATTAGTGTGCCATCTGCAATTCGATTTTTTTCACACTGGAACATTTATTATCATTCAGTTGAGGAACGGTTTACGAAGAATAAAATCACAACTTACCGTAACTTTAATCATTTCTACGCCTTAAACTACTACGGGTGAAATTAATCCCAAGTCGGTTGGTTTATCCTTTGAAGTTGTCTTGAATGAGGTTGTTTTTAATAACCTTGCTTCCCTACAAATATATACAGGTATACATATTTTCCCCTTTTTTTCAATTTTAAATGTCTCGGGCGTACCTCTAACAAGCTTCAGCCTTTAAAAGTACGTCACTCTCGTTAAAAATTAGGCTATAGCTTCATGTTTCTTTCAGACGTAAATGTTTTACCGTACTGAATTAAATAGATGACAGCTTTCGAAATTAAACAAAAACTAAGCTTATATTCATCCACTGTAATCCAAGAAAACAGTTTCTGGACTTTTTTCTATGTTATTTTGATTTACAAGATCTTTACTCTGCATTTTATATACGTAATTAAAGTTGACAGTGTCTGAACTTTTGTCTATGCTATTTTGACTTACATGATCTCTACTCTGCATTTTATATCCGTAATTAAAGTTGACTTATATCTGATTATACTGAAAGTTTACTCATTATTTCACTTCCTTGGGCCTTTCTTTCAAAATGTTATCAGAAAGTAGTGAAGAAAATTCAAGAAAATATGCATTTGAATAAAAAATGTACTCAGTTTTAAATGTCAGATATACACTCAAAATCATGTGAAAGTGCATTTTGAACTTAGAGGATCCTTCACTTGTTTTTTCCCTATTTCTAACATTATTTTACGAACAAATGACCACAAAAACTACGTAAAACTGAACGCTAAGCCTTACTTTTCCGTTTCTTGTCCAAGTTACACCAACTTAAGTTTACTAATGTTTGGTAGATCATTTGTACATAGGGGATATATCCTTTTGAGCAAAGAGGTGTAACATAATGAGCATCATTTCAATTATCAAAAAAAATTTATAGAATCCTCACCCCCCCGAAAAAAGCTTCAAGATTTGGCGCCTTCAATTCCTTAAAAAGGGCCAGTTACATTTCCCTAAGGAAAACGCTCCGGCATCACTGATTATGGTAGGAAGCCTGGTTTCCATACCGACGTGAGAAACGCAGAGAGCAACGCAATCAAGACGCAAACTGCAACGCAGACAAACGCAAACCAGCCCCAGACGGATCGGCAAAAGTTGAGCCCGGTTCAACTTTGCCGAGTGTCAGCGTCAAGTCGCTGAGTAGGCCTATACAAACACACATGCTGGCATGACGGGCGTACAACGATGTTTCTAAGTACCACTCATTTTTTTCTCCTTATTGCTGGCTTAAGCAGCCCCAATCATCAACAAAATAGCTGACCACTAACAAATTACATCAAACTGGAGTGTCGGTTTGGCTTCAAGACGCACGATTGCCACTCAAAAAGGCATTTTTTTATGACATTACCATGACATTGCCAATTCCTAACACAAGCCAACTCGGGCGAAATTTCGCTGCAACGTTTTGTGACGTCAAACTCACTTCGTTTGGCATTTACTCGAAGTATAAAAAGTCCTCTATGAGTATACACAGATGTGTCTCTACACGACAGTGTTCTTTAATTCGCCTCGACATCCAAGCAATTCAAGGCGCAGACAGATGTATCTTGTCCATGCGAGAGGGCGTATTTGTATGAAGCGTGTGGTCAAACTCCCGGGAAAGATGTTGGTCACCGGAGTCTCATTGTCCGTGTTGGCCTGGAACTGCAGATGATTAGAAATAAAAGGGGAATCTTTGTAATCACATTCAATTTTAACCCTGACAGCGATCAAGCCTCCGATTTCAATGTGATTTCACATACATTCTAGGGCGTTAGGGTTGTTTTTACTTTATGAAGAAAACCTCAGTCTGTTTTAAAATGGAATTCAGGGAAGTTGCCTTTTCTCATTTTAACATCTTCAAAACTTGAAATTACTACATTACCGAAGGATAGGGGTGACGTGTTCAACGTTCCGACTTTTTTCACAACTTACCTTTACTGTTGTTCCATTAGTACCAGTCACATAATTCCAGTTAATCCCATCGTCACTGTACTGCACTGCGTATGACGTCACCCAGACGTTACTATAGTGTCTTCCTTGTGTGATGACCCCAGCAACCTTAGTCGATGTTTGCACCTCAACACAAATCCACTGGTTCTGGTCAACAGGAACCGGACACCAGGCAGCTACAAAATCAACAGAGAATGTCCAAAATGATTCAGCAAAGTTTAGCAACGTTGGACGAGAATTAACATTACGATGTTTCCAAATGATTACATCCACGTTACGGCATACGGAGCTGTATTGAGGACACGAGAAAAACCTCTCCCCTCCATAGGCCAACTCGTACGTGCGACTGGTATACGCGCGACCGTACCGTACAGGCCGTTCGTTTGACCGTCTTGTGTCCCACAAGTCGGTCAAACGAACGTCTTATGGGATACATCGTGATTTATAACTTCCATGTACGACTCATATCTCCTATAACGTACGCATCGTTCGTACAATAATATCTCGTATACGTACGAATTACGATTGATCAGTGTTATGCATCTCATACATGAGAGATAAGAGTCGTACGTAAACGATATATTTCGTACATAAGAGTTCAGGGAAAGAACAAGGCAGCTGCAAAAATCAGTTGTACATTAAGTCGAAAAACATACATTACATCAGACAAAACGTATCACACTGAAAGCGCGCATTGTAACGTTATCTAAAACTGGTTCACTTGAAAATGTAAAGTAATCATATTTTCACGGTGGATAGCTGATAATTTTCGACAGTAAAACGGATTTTGGTTTGAAAAAACGCAACATCGTAGAACGCACACAGGCATGATGTTGTGAACCACGATCGGCGTAAACGGATCGTCGCCAATTTTCTTAATTCACAGCGGCGGTTCTGTAAGCAAAAAAAACCCAAACGAAACAAAACAAAACAAACAAAAAACTCAGTAAGATCTTGCAGTTAACATTTTCTGAGAAGTATGAATCAAGTCCCCAGCGATTTTGCCTTTCTAACAATGAAGCCCTGTTTTTCTTAATTGCGGAACTGGCTAAATTACAGAACTGGACAATTAAATGTCTACATTTGTATTTAAAAATACGTAAACGGTAGGGGCCTACCGTTGGAATTGAGCCGCGAACTTGAGACCCCATACCCAACGTGACCAACATGTGATACTGACAAAGAGGTGTCCGGTATGTCACTATTCTCCATCCCTAGTGGGTCTTGGCAAACTGGAAGGAAAGAACACATAAAACGAAACTGACAAAATAGGGATACATGAAAGTTCTATTTCTCTTATTATTGATCAGCTAAGTTAAGCTTATATCACGATATTTGATGAGGTTTCCTTGCATGGTATTTGTGTAGTTGTTTGGTGCGATTGGCCGATGTATGTGATCTCTCGATCTTTGCATAATCACTCGGTCTTTCACTGTTCGATTTGTCGGTAACTGCGGAATAGACCAATCGCCCATAGCGATGTGGCGATTGTGCAGATTGGCCGATTGCACCCAAAATTTTAATAACATTAAAAAGTGCATCAAGATCTCAACTTCCAAACCAGTTGACGTCCAAGGGCAACACTTTCTTGACTATCTCCGTATCCATATTATAACCCAGCCAGATTGGCAGGGCTCTCACGGTATGCCTGTTCACAGCTTCAAGGCAAAACCTATCTTGTCTCCGCACCTTCATTGTAACTTGGGCCCAGATGAGTAGGCCTATTGTGAAACACAAAAAAAGGAGGAAATTTATGGCAGATCTGATTATTTATGTGGAAGTCAACTGCTGAACCAACTTACTTCTACACTTAAGCCAGGTTTGAATCTCATCAGAATTCTTGCTTTGGAGCAAACTGTCCCGATATTTAACGCTGAAGGGGTGCCGCAATGGAAGGATGTTCACTCCTCCCAGCTGAACCTCGGTACACTGGCAGGGATCCTCAGTTGGGATCATCCAGTGGGATTTGTCAGTTGATGCTGGATGGGGTGCTTGGCCAGAGTGGCACACCATTGCTAAACAAAAGAAAAAAATGTGCCACTGTACCTCTCAACATTTCCAGCGGGCGGGCCGGCTTTGGAACTGCCTTTCAGGAATACTGGTTACAGCAAATGAGATCGGTCGATCCGAATCGACAGTTTTTGTTTCGTTTACTTTAAGAATAGCTGAATCATGGACGTCATCTTTAAAAAATGGATTTGCAATGCTGTTTGTAATGACCGAAGAAATTGCAGGCCGAATACAAAGAAGATCGTTGGGTCACGTGCAACTGTTGTTGCCACACATGATTTAGTCAACAACAGCAAGCAAGCCCTTGTATTACCTTTATGCTCGGCACGGTAAGATGACCACCGGTAGCTCCCGCGATCTCTCTGGACTGATTAAAGGCGTGGCGAGTTGAGACTTTTCACGTGACGTCCGTGCCGGAGTTTCACGCGGTGACAAAAAGGGGGATTTCAGGTCGTCACAGCGAGGATAGGGAACAATGATTAAACCCTCCATGGCTTTTTCTTCAGTTGCACATGCGCACAGGGTTATCCTTCTTCTTCTTCTTGATTTGTTTTAATGGCGCTTTCAGCAGCTCAGGCTATTTGCGCCAATAACTGTACGTTTATTCATAACCTTTGTCAATCAGCATCACATTACGGAGTTTTAGAGGCAGGAGGAAACCGGATTACCCGAAGAAAACCTGAGAGAGCGAGTGTGGACTGGAAACCAAATGCATTTAAAGCCTCGGCCAAGCCGGGTCTCGAACGCGGGCCTTGGTGCAAAGCAAAGCGATCATTTGTGCAAAGCGAGGAAAGAACCGCTACGCTAACCCGCTCCCAACGGGATTATCCTTTGCCAGGCTAATCATTCTGTTTCTTCCACTCTTAATCAGTTTAGTATACATACATGTACATGTATGTCTTTTAACACTTACCCCTAGGGACCTTTGAAATCATGCTTAGTTGGACTCAGAATGGTTAGGGTTCGTAAAAAACACTGAGAGGGGAAATGGATCTCACCTGTCAACGCTGCAGCCACTTCGATCACAAGACAAAAGGCAGGGAATCCAGCAATGACAGTCCTGGCAAGCATCGTGTACCAAATGCGATGAAAAGCGTACCTAAGTACGCTGTAAAATGCTACTTCAGGAGTGGTGTGACACTGACTACACCTTGAAATCTGTCACTACTTATTTGGGATGGATTGATCGAGTGTCCACGTTAAACCCCCTCCGCAGTATCAGCTAGATATAGAACGGTATAATACCGTGAACCTATGATTTTACATTGTATTCGTCACTGAGATATACCCTTGTCGTTTTTGTTGTTGTCATAGCAATGGAAACAGTGCGCACGAAAACCTTCTTTTTTTAAAAAAAGAACGCTGGTATCGTTGGCAACGTACCGCATATAACTTTCAGTTAATTTGTTTGCCCGTGGGCTTCGTGTGCGCAATTTCCAATTGCGTGTGTAATAACCAGCATGCCATGGGTCTGTTGGTGTGTATTTGTTGATGTGTATCGGTTTAAGTCACCAGACTCGGTTCATAGAAGTACTGCTGTCACGTTTTGAATGCAATTTCACTGTGATCGCCAACATTTCTATGCTTTATTTCCAAGATTGCAGGTGAATAATTTCGTGAAGTTCTTACCCCAAGGACGGAAGACGAAACAACGAGAATCTAACTTTTATTTTCTTTACCTTAATTTGTTTCGACAAAATGATAGAAAAGGGTATTTTTGAAACTGCCGCAAGATTTTCAACCTTCATACAATAATTACATATGCATGTCGACGTAAGTTATACCCAGACGTCCAATACGATCGACATATTCTTTCATCAGTGTAGCCACATCAATCACTGGTAACTATAGCAACGATCGCTTGTATAGACTGTCCCAATGGAGTACATCTTATGGGGTATACTAATACATGTACTCATTTGTAACTTGATGTGTTGCTCATTTGTAATTTACATGTATCTTTGTCTTGCCAGATAAGTCAATGTAAATCGTTCTGAGGTTAATTCAAATCCATTTTGTTTGTATTTTATTTTTAAGGTGGGTACACTGTTATGGCTTCGCGGAGCCAGCAGCTGTTTCCACCACGTCCCTTCTCTCACGGTCATAGCTGTACGCATCTGACAAGCCATGACTGGCTTTATTACATGGACCTTCGCTGATAAATTCATAATTATGCACGCATGCGCACAAGTGGCCTTGGCGGCAAGGACCATTGAAAATGTACAGGGGTGCGATTTTGATCGTTTTCTCTCAGGTTTTCTGGCTTTGTTCATTTTTTCTTCAGAAAATCCCATTAAATCGCTTTTGCTATTAGTTTCGAATCTATAAAGCGCAAGTTTGCCGGCTATAGAACACCATATAAAATGACTGCCACTCTACTCCCGGTAAGGTCAACGACGTCCACGCCAGGCATTCTGCATTGCGAGTACATTTTTCAATATACATCTGATTCTATTATATCTATATGTCTGTGGGGACGAGTTGGTTCGGATGGAAGTATACTGCCCCGGTCTACAAACTCCATTGGCTGGGGGTGTTGGGCGCTGAGAGGTCTGACGTGATTGAGCCGGTGCCTCGTAGACGTAACTAAAAAACAGCCCTTGGACGCCCGAGTTATATTTAACAATTAAACAGTAGCTGGTTCATTCACGATCGCTCCTTGAACTATAAACAACCAATTCGCCGATAGAGGGCACTGTTGACAGGAGAACTGAGTGACCCATAGAGATCATAATACTTCTTTAACTTACGATCTCTATGGTGTGACCAGATTTCACCTGGAGTGGTGAGCCCCACAATTATTTGTGTATATTTAGTGCCACTACAGGAACCCAAATAAGTTTATAAGGCTGTCTCAGGGCTACGCCACTCACAACTCACGCTAGCTCCTTCAAGGAACTCTTACCGCACCACCAAATAGCCTCTCTACCTATACCAAGCCACTCTAAGTAGAGTACTTAGCCTCGGACTCGAAAGAGTCAAAGCAGACAAGACATAATTTCAAATGTAGTTTACAGACAAACAACAATTAGGAGGCTCGACCGAAGGACATGGGACTACCAAGTACATGAACATGTAAGGGCAAGGGCTCTGACTTTCAATCAATCTCACGGCTTATAGTGGCTCAATAGCCTCACCATACTCTTAGGTGATCTTGACATCAAGACCGCTGTGCTTTATTTGAAAGATGATTACTTTTTGTGGTTGAAGTCAGTTCGCATAATTAACTGCCTCACAAGTGTCCTTGTCCAAAATCATCAACAGTTATGTTTCGTGATTTGGAAACACGATTCAAAGCAACCTCAGACATTTCCGAAGGGAATCAAGCATGCAGCTGGGAATAAAATTCCAGCATTTCCCTTAAATGATACACACGTCAAATACATTCAATACTCAGCTATCTCAAGTCAGTTTTAGACCTACATTCGTTCGTTTGTACACTCTATAATGATAGCCAGTTATAAAGTTCCTTACTAAAATGATATGCGAGGAAACTTGAATTTATATTAGATAGCGTGCAATCTACAATTCAATCTTTTACACTTGAGCATCAACGCTAAAACTTAATTATTACATCGATAATTCGGTTTACGAAGGATACGTAAAATGACAATCCCAAATCCTTGAAACCGTTTTCATGGGTTTGCTTCTATACAGATGTATATTAGTTTATACAGACTATATAATTTCTTTTAATTCAAATATCAAAGACGTACCTCAAACAAGCTTCGGCTTTTAAGAGCGTGTCTACATCTTAAATATAATACAAATTCAGTCTCATGTTTCTTTTTTCTTATCATTTGACGGAAATATTTAACTGAAGTGAATTTATCAGTAAGTCAGCAACCTTTGAATCCCCCCAATAAAACTACTGCGATTCATCAACAGTCATTAACGTGTGATCCAAGTGAACAAATTTTCAACTGTTTTTTCTACTGTCTTTGCTGTGACTTAGATGATCTTTATTCTGCGTTATGCCCACTTAATTACTTGTATAATTCACACAGAGATTTCCAATTCACAATTTGAAAGTTTGTTCATTATTTCACCTGTCACATTCTTGAGCATTTTCCGGTCAAAATGTCATCGAAAAATTTATAAGCAAGATAATTCTAGATATTTTGCATTTCGATCTTTATGTATAAGTTTGGTGTATCCTCACAATCACGAGACGTAGGCCTACATTGACTTTTTGGGATTTTTCCGAATCCGTGTCTGTTTTTACGTTTTTGACATTTTTTAATACTTAATATTTATTTTCTACTATGAAATGACAAGAAATGTAATAATGTTACGAAATGATCCGTATTAATCTTCTGTTTCTTGACCTTGGTTACACAAAGCCAAGTTTGTTAATGTTTCTTTGATCATTTCTGCCATTGACTATTATTTTGAGCAACGAAGCGCTGCATATGAGCATCAGTTCAATTATCAAAACAGCGCCAGTCTCGTAAATGACCATAATTCTCTCGTAATTTGAAAGTGTGTCACTCTACAACTTATTAATTATCAGTTATAACGGCATGGCACACATTGTGCCAGGCACTGCAGTATACGTCGTCATATTCACCTGAGACGCTTGCACTCTCACGCAAAAACCTATAAAATAGTTTGCGTGGATTGGGTTGGGTGGGTAATTGGCAAAAGGGGGATTTTATTCCAATAATTGTTCAAGTTTTTCATCCTTACTGAATCCCCAGCCTCCCTCAAAATAAAGGTAGAAGTGTTGGCGCTTTCAATTCAAAGGACAACTTTTTTCCAAGAAGCATCCGCCGGCTAAAGATACCAATGAGGCGGTGAGAATTGCAAGCTCAAGGTCACAAAATTTTGTGAGTGTTGGCCGGCATTACAGCCGTGTGTGAAGCCCACTCTGTCCAATCAGGACGCCAAGAAATTGCATCAGTCATCCTGAAGAAATAGTTCTCCCCAGTCCCGTGCACTGCAGGGCCCAGGGGAGTGTCTACGAGTGAATCGCTCGTATTGGTTCGTTAATATGTACGTGTTTGTATAGCGTTCTTATACGCTTCTACATCCGAGCAATTCAAGACGCAGACAGATGTACCTTGCCCATGCGAGAGGGCGTATTTGTATGAAGCGTGTGGTCAAACTCGCGGGAAAGATGTTGGTCACCGGAGTCTCATTGTCCGTGTTGGCCTGGAACTGCAGGTGATTTGAAAAAAGGGGGAAACCTCTGTAATAACATTCAATAATTACCCTTAAGAGAAATTAAAGCGAAGTTGCGTTCTCTCATTTGACACCCTCCGAACTTGAAATTACTACCACTATACCGAACTGGAATGGAAGTGAAATTTTTAAACTTCCAAGTTTTTTACAACTTACCTGTGCTGTTGTTCCATCAGAGCCAGTTACATTGTTCCAGTTAATCCCGTCGTCACTGTACTGCACTGCGTATGACGTCACCCAGACGTCACTGTGGTGTCTTCCTTGGGTGATCAGGCCAGCAACCGTAGTCGGTGCTTGCAGGTCTATACGAATCCACTGGTTCTCGTCAATGGAACGCGGACACCAGGCAGCTACAGAAATAAATTGAACAGAAAATATCCAAAGTGATTCTGCAAAGTTTAGCCGTGTTGGACGAAAATTAACATTGCGATGTTTCCAAAATATATGTTTACATCTACGTGCAAGTTCGAGCGATGACTATATAACACCGCCCGAACGATAGATGGTTTGGACTACCTAGTCAACCATTTGGGTCTAGGTTCCAGAGCGCACTGCTAATTATCAATAGCCAACTTCATTTATCATAACAGATGGAACCATTCACCTAAAAGTAATTGTACGACATTTCATTGACCATGTACGCTGCAAGAATCGCAGGCAACGGTGAAATGTGAGTAACGGTGGGATTTTGAGTGTAACTGAATTGCGCGTGCGCAAAGCGATTGACTACTGGTCGAACTCAACCTCGAACTCCATGGGCTGCGTGTGCGTTCCTTCACTAGCCCTTAGTCGTGTAGAATAGAGCCTGAAAGTAAAAGGTCACGGAGCGAGCTTCCGGAACCCTTGCGCGGTCTACCTATGGGGATTTTACATTGGGTAGTACTATCACGTTCGACAATTTTTGGAAAAATAATTCTCTACTGAAGCCACCATATGCAACACTCATGTTGGAATTTTACCTTTGTCTTCCTCAAGTAAGATTTTGGAAAAGTCAAGTAAGATTTTGGAAAAGTCACCTGGAGATAGGTAAAAGAACGAATTTTATGAACGACCTTTCACGTCCGGCGATATCGTACCTAGATCTCCTTGTTCGTGCACGTTTGTTTTCACTCGCCGTGCTTTCTTGAAAACGAGATTGTACAACCTTGCAAAGATTTACCTACGTGCAGTAGATGGGTTCTAGATTCCGTTTAGTTGACATCACGCAGCAGTTGTTGTCAGCAAAGGTAAGATAAAATATAAGAATCTTTCGTAAGAGTACAATATTGCTTAATGTTTATTACCTTATAAATTATCAAAATGTATAAAATATTTTGATCTGTTTTTATTTCGGCTTTTACCCACAGAGTACCATAAAATTTTAAACCGTAAATATTCATCTGCGTACGAGACTGCCGCATTGCACCGTTCTTCTTGTATTTTAGATTTTCAGGTAATTTTTCAGTTTCTATGAATTGATATACTAGCAAATATTTTTCAAAGCCCTTTTTCCAAGTTAGATTTTTAAGAAGAAACTGAACGAAAAAATATTACAAAATCTAAATTTTTTACACGTTATTTTGCCTATCCAAGGGTTCCGGAAGCGCGCCACCAGGGGTCAACTTTCAGGCTCTGTACGAAAATGACGCTGACTGGCTATTCAAGATGAATATCCGCCTCGAGCTGAAGTGCATCCCCAGGCGGCAAAATAAAGACAGATGGTTGTAAATTTTCCAAGCGGGTTCTTGCACGCGTTCTGCGTGTACGCAAAGACCGTCCGGCTCCTAAGTGTGACGTCACTTCAATTTCAACCACGTCAACTGCACACGGGCACTGCACATGGAGTTACATTATTGATCGCCGTTTACGTGGAACCGTGGAAACGGATGTCAATGCACAACATCAGCGATCGTCCAATGGGAGCCTGTACATCGTTGTGCGTCCGCATTTGCAGTGCCTATGCGGTGAGTTGGTACCATTGATCTCCATTATAAAGAAATAATTATAGTGGAGATCAATGGTTGGTACCAAAACATAGAGCTATATATGAAAACTAGAGCGCTGACTCATGTACAAAGTGATGTCTGTTGGGTGCATCCATTTTTATGCACAAACCTATGGAAAACTCGAAATTGTGTACGGTTTTTGTAACGTTATCTGCATATCTACGTCCGTATTCCAGAACGATACGTCAACAATTAAGCCGATACGCAAACAACTTGAACACACAATCAGTAGATGAGCGTTTCATTTTCTGCGCCCAAAAAACACAAACGCGTGCGCTTATGCACTGCACATGAATTTTGCCGTGACGTTTTTAATCGGATTTTATAGGTACCCAATGCAAAGGACAGCTGCTGCACCAGGGCCGTCAACTCACTTAACACTGAGTGAATTAAGGGAAAGACTTTTTTAGGTTAGCTGAACTTGTTACGAAATCGGACATACTTGCTCGGATGTTCGCGAAACATTCGTTTCTTAAATAATCAGCTATGGATGTGCCATTGCTCTAACAGTGGCGTATTTGTATTTGAGCGTTTCATATGAGACTACATAATTCAATATATAATTCAAATATGTTATTTAGTGTTCTACACGCACGCAATAGATTCAAAATGTCGGCGCCAAGGACGGCGTCAAATTTTCTCCGCGCGGAGAATGAAAAGTTAGCGCTCTAGTTTTTATATATGTACCAAAAGGACCGTCCCTTTTGTCTACAAGCAGGCCCTCTTTTGTTCCTCTCGGAGCGGAGAGTTCGGGCGCGAACCTGCCCCACACTGCATAGTGAAATGTACGGAGCTATATGCTTACTTGTACGCATGACTGATACGTCGTGCGTACGACTCACATCTTCAGGCGCTTCTCCATCAAGAAGTTCGGGCGGCCTCTTCTTGACACAGGTTTCTTGTTCTCGCGCTCGAACGGCGGGAACACGACTCAAGAACACTGTTCTCGGAACAGGATCACACACCCCTTCTAATCAGGGTTTTACAGGAACACACGGAAAAACTAAAACTCGTGAGATTTTGATTTTTGAACAGCTGCAAAAAGTAGGGAGATGGCTTCCAAAGCCATAAACAATGGGAAGTTTTGCAAAATTAACCTTAATTACTTTCTGTAACACAGAAATGAATGTTCCTGTTTATATAGAAAAGAATCCAGCCCATCCAAACATTAACTCTCGAATAACGTAGCCTACAGGGACGCCTCCATGTTGCATGTTGCTTGTCACTAACTACCAGCGATAACCGGTTGTTTGTTCCCGGCGTTCGAGCGGCCGACCCACGAACAACAAATCAAGCTGTTCCTGAACATACGGGAACAAGCTGCCCGAACTCAGCCCATATGTACGTTTGGGGGGGTGCGTTGCGTACACGATGCGTTTAACGCGTTGCAGACTCTTGGAGGCGCACTATATTGTGAATCGCCTGTATTATATTACGATCAATAAGTCGTAGTATAGGCAGGACATAGAACTCGTACGTACAAGTTATATCTCGTACGTGAGAGTTAATGGGAGAGAGAACGGCCGCTGCAGAAATATATTGAACATAAAAGTTCAAAACAATATACCACAGGAAACGTATCTACCAAAATATTTCAGAATGTGATAGGCCTACATTTACAAGCATAATTCATTGTCACGTGCATAAGAACATAAAAAATAACAGTTATTTGCCTTGAAGACGTCAGCAGAAATGATAAAAATGTAGGTAAGATTTATTTAAAAATACACTAATGGGGTTCCCTTGAAATTAAGCCGGGATCTTTCGATCCCATAGCCAGTGTGACCAACATTTGATGCCGACAGAGCGTTGTCTGGTATGTCGCTATTCTCCATCCCCAGTGGGTCTCGGCAAACTGGAGGAAAACAACAAATCATATGAAACTGACGAAATCAGAATAGAGATCAGTATTATAATGAGTATTTTATTCTTAAATTTTCACAGCTGTAAGAGTTTGATTCGCCCATTGCTAAGCTTAGTGGTCACACACGATCGGTCGATCTCATTTATGCGCGATATCTCAGTCTTCCATCCATCGCTCGATCTTTCCGCTCGATTTGTCATAATGCCGCCATCAGCCAGTCGCCTTTTCTTTGTAATTCACGCTTGTGAAAGACTGCTTTAGAAAAGGAAGCAAAGTTTCATTGCAGAATAGACCAATCGCCCAGAGCGATCGGGTGATTGTAGAGACCGACCGATCGGGCCCAACATTACAATCTCGACTTGAAAACCAGTTGACGTCCAAGGGCAAGGCGTCGTTACCTCTAGATAATAACTGACTCAGATGGGTAGGGCTAGAAAGTGAATATTTGTCAATTTATTTTGCCCTGTATGCCTGTTCGTAGCTGACAAAGAAAATCAAAACCTACCTTGTCTCCATACCTTAACTGTATTGTGACAAGCCCAATGGAGAACTCTTACGATTTGTGTCTAATGATTTAAGATGAAGTGAATCGCTAATCAACTTACCTTCACACTTCATCCAAGTTTGAATTTCCTCTGAATCCCTACTTCGTAACAGAGTGTTCCAGTACTTCACTCTGAAGGGCTGGAGACATGGAAGGATGTTCAACCCACCCAGCTGAACCTCCGTACACTGGCAGGGATCCTCAGTAGGGATCATCCAACGGGATTCACCGCTTGACGCCGGGTCCGGTGCCTGCCCTGAGTGGCAAACCAGTGCTAAATTAAAAAAAACCCGCATTACTCATAATTTGAAGCTAGCGGGTCAACTTGGGTAGTCAAATAAGATAAGGAAATCTTATAAAATAAGGAAATCTTATAAAATTAAGTCATTAGAGACTGGATTAAGAAGCTGATTTAAAAGTTTATTAAAAACGTACTGGTACTCTAAAGCATTTTGAACTAAAATATGGGCACAGGATGATCCCTCTTCTTCTTAAATTCTTCTTCTCCATGAGATAAAAAACCCTGAACATTTTTGAAAAAAATCATTATTTTTATTTAGTGTAAATTTAATTTTAGTATTATTTAACAAAAGAGTCCTACAGGTTAATCTTATGTAACTCCGAACAGATTACAGCGACTTAGTATATACAGATATCACTGTGTTTCAAATTTGTAAGTTTTCTCTTTATTCTTTTCCCTTTTTATGACGTTTCACTTCCTTTCTGATGAGCTGTGTTTGTGGTAAACACTGTGACCATTTCCTGCCTTTGCTGCAGTAAATCTTTGATCTTGGGACGGAGGGGTACCCCCCCCACATGTCCAATCCCTTCACACGCCCCTTAGATGTCTGAAAAGAATTCCCGAAATTCCGATCAATGACCAACACAAAGGTATGCGGGGGAGGTGCTCTCCGTTCCAAATCTGGCTGGGTAGCAATATTTGTGGTGTTTTCTTTTTGCAATTAACTGCAATTTATCGCAGTGACTAGGAAAGACAAAGAAAAAGATATCTAACATTAGATTTATTTTTGCCGTCGTGAATAACTTTTCAGAAGAATTTGATGCACTTTTCCATTATTCATACAATGTTTGTAATTTTATTTTGTCACTCCAAACCACCAGTTTTCAAGTCTTTGTACGAATTTGGCTAAGACTGGCTAACATGTTGACCACTACAGGACAGTTAAGTTCACGAAAAACAAAATGCGCTGTTTCATCACAATGAGTGATCATGAAATCTCACAAAATACGTTTTTGTATAAATTCCGTAATAAAAATGATTCAAGTAAAACAAAACTCTTATAAACAACTTGGCTATTTATTCCCAAAATAAGTTCAGATGAAAGCCTTCGATAAGGGCAATAACTACAGATGAACACTTCGGATACACCGCCTAATAAAAGCAACTGCGCAAGCATCGAATTTGACGTTGTTGTCAGATCATACCAAGCACCAACGATGGCATGAATGTTCAACTTCATATACTGCAGTACACAAGGTTTTAAGGATGCAGCTTACCAGCGAAAAATTGCGGCGATTATCATAGAGTACAGAAGGGGCTTATGGTTGTGAAACAGATGGTGAGTAGCAAGCATTCGATGCGCTCTGGCTATGGCTATGGATATACTGGGCATGATGACAGAAAGCGGTAATTGGCCAGATGTTAAAGCCCGGGCAGTTCAAACTCTCTGTGTCCTTTCTCCACGGTTTTAAGTAAGTCCAAGTATAATATAAGTTATTCATAAATGATTGATTTTTGCTAGTCCATTACGACTCTTCCAATAAAGAGAGAGAAGAGCTAGGAAGAGAATATTGCCTAAAAATTTCCTTATTTATTAGGAATGAAGGAACTTTCTTTAAATTTCTTCGTTTGTTGCCATTCTTCCTTGCATGGGAATGTGTATGTTGTTTTGAGAGAGATTTTTCAGCTTTCTGTTTACTCTCTGGGTGAGTTTAGTCATCCTGAGCTGCCACCCAGGCCTGCTACCAGATACTTTCACGTGATTGACAAGAATTGAGCGCTCCCACCAAAGCACCAAGTCTGGAACGTCAAGAGGGAGCGGGACTGTTGAGAGATATGGGGACGGTCAAGGGAGACCAAGAACTAGATGGAGGACCGGATCGTTAAGACTGGGGTCCTCACTGGAGACTGACCTCTTGAGATCTCGCCTCTTGTGGAACGTGACTGACAGGCCCCACCCTCAAAGACTGCTGCAAGTACAATATAGACTCTTGTGCTTCCTAATTAAGACCTCCTATTGATGTTGACAGTCTTTGCAGTTTCGTGGAACTTGTCCTCTTATTCTTTTAAAAATCACTGGCGCCTTAAGGATTTTATATGTAGTTATTACTGAAATTTCTCTATAGGGTGACATGGTGAGAGCGCTACTTCTTTTGATTTTGTACATATACCCATTTAATTATGATTTCATCTAATAAAACAGAATGAATGGTGGAGCATTTCAATCTTGAGTGGATCGACATTCACCTTATTCCAAAAGGATTTGGCTGAAAAAATTTATCCTGTCAATTTGATCTGATCCAGGTACGGGTTACACTTAAATTGTCATTGAACGATGAAGGACAACGTATGGCAATTTTTCTAATTTCGGAGAGGCGTCCCAGACACCCCCCCAACCGCCAAGCAGTATTCAAGGCGATCAATGCGGAAATTTCGATCCATTCATGCACGACGCAGAGTACTCGATCGAGTGTTATTTGCCTACTTCAGCGGAAGCCTTTACAAAGTAATTTTCCGCGGACACGTACTGAATAGACTGTATTCATGTGTCGGCCATCTTGAATTGGAAATTGGAACCCAAAGTAACAGTGACAGTCACCTATGTGGACGTCACGGGCAACTGGTTCTATGCAGACGCCACAGGTCCAGATCGCTCCCATCTAGCTTACTACCAACTCGCTCACAAAAATGAGATTGCGTCCGGTGTGCCAAGAAAATAAATATGCTATCAAAAGGCTGGCAAATATGGAAAAATGACGACTCTAAAAAACAAACAACAAGAGGCGGTCACTGTGGCTGGAATCACTTTGCCGCGATATCCGTGGCGCGTAAATTATTACTTCAATAAAGGCTACCGTACCGGCTACAAATTGAAACATCGACAGCCATTTCCGGAAAGCAAGAAACGCTCCTATAATGGGTAGAGTGCGGTCACGGTCGGAAATTCGTATGTTTCGTTTTACGGTTGCTAGTAGCAACAGCCTCTAATAAAACATCACACAGATAGTGAAGAGTTTCAGGTATTTATAATCAAGTGGCGTTAATTTGTCTGGAAATTTTGGGAATGAGAGAGGTGGGGGATGGAAATTTGAAAAGCGGGGTTGGGATGACAATGTCT